GTCACTACTGGCCCCAGCATTCAAAGCTGAAGTCGAGTCAGCCTTTCTTCTTGACTCTAGAGGGAGGAAGTAGAGGACTGATTTCAACATCCCTTCTCCCTAGAATAGGGGGTTTTCAAACTTGGTTGCATGTTAGAATCAACTGGTGAGCTTCAAAAAACCTCAGTGCTCAGGCCACACCCAGACCAATTACATCAGAACTCAGGGGCATGGGTGGTAGATCCCAGGTGGTGGTATTTTATAACGTATCCTAAGTAATTCCAATGGGCAGCCAATGTTTTGAGATCCACAACTCTAGCAAAACATAAATAGTCATTTTAAGATGAAATTTACACCAGGCTCTTACTCAGTTTCAGGATGTTTTAAAGGCTGCCAAAATGTCATTGTTTGCAGGTCACCACAATTCAGATCATGTATAAATGGCCACCTACATCTGTTTTTATTAGGACTGAATTAGTAAAAATAAAAGGGAGCCAAATGCAATTAAGTCCTGGAACAGAAAAAGACATTTGTAGAAAAGCTGGTGAAATATGAATAAAGCCTGTAGTTTAGTTAATAATATAGTACTTTTTTTGTTTTTTAATTTTAGAGACAGGGTCTTGCTCTGTCACACAGGATGGAGCGTAGTGGTGTGATCACAGCTCACTGCAACATTGAACTCCTGGGCTCAAGGGATCCTCCTACCTTTGCCTCCCAAGGAGCTGGGATTACAGGCATGCGCCAACACACCTGGCTAATTTTTATATTTTTTATAGAGGCTGGTTCTCAGTATGTTGCTCAAGGATGGTCTCAAACTCCTGGGCTCAAGTGATTCTCCCACTTTGGTCTCCTAAAGCACTGAGATTACAGGTGTGAGCCAGTAACCAACGCTAATTTCTCAGTTTGGAAAAGAGTAACATAGTTTATAAGATGTGACATTTGTTAAAGCCAGGTAGACAGTATACAGAGCTTCCTGCTACCTTTGCAATTCTTCTGCAAGTCTAAATATCTCAAAATAAAAAAGTTAGAAAATTAAATTGAGTGCCAGGCTCAGTGGCTCAGCCTGTAATCCCACTGCTTTGGAAGGTCGAGGTGAGTGGATTGCCTGAGCCCGCGGGTTCAAGACCTGCCCGGGCAACTTGGCGAGACCTTGTCTCTACAATAAATACATTAAAAAAATTAGCCGGGCGTGGAAGCGCACGCCTGTAGTTCCGGCTACTCGGAAGGCTGAGGCGGAAGGATCGCCGGAGCCCAGCAGGTCGAAGCTGCGGTGGCCAGGAGTGTGCCACTGCCCTTCAGCCTGGGCGACAGAGTGAAACTCCAACTCAAAAAAAAAAAAAAAGAAAGAAAGAAAAAGAAAAAGAAAATTAAACTGAGAAAAGAGAAGGGGAGTCAGTATTAATGTTCCAAAAATTGGTGATTACTAACAATAGTCAACACTCTTGGGCATAAAAGTCTTGTACTGTGGACCCAGACACTTTATTAACGAATACAACTTACAGGGCTGGAGAAGCTTGGAGAAATTTCCAATTTCCTGTCTACATTCTCCTTTATATATCTCTCCGTCTCTTTCATCTAGATCCCACAAAATGTCAACAGCAGTTAATTCCGAAAGAGTCGCTGACAATATATGACCTAAGAGTCACATATTCTACTATTAGGAATAATCACACTGCTTCTAATAATATCTCTCACGTGTATAGTACTTTACAGTTTATAAGCACGTTCCAAGTGTTAATCCTGCTTGATTTGCATTAGGAAGTAGGCAAACATGTGTGGTATACCACAGGATGTCATAAAGAATGGAACTTTGATTGCATTTTATTACAAGACACACAGTGTAGCACCTGTGCGCGTGCACACACACACAAACACACACACACACACACACCTCATAGTACACATGCACAATTTGAAAACATCTTATTAAAAGATCCAGGGCTCCTGTCATCCCAGCACTTTGGGAGGCTGAGGCAAGAGGATTGCCTGAACCCAGCGGTTCGAGACCAGTCTGGACAACTTGGTGAGATCTTGTCTCTACAATAAATCAAAAAATTAGCCAGGTGTGGTGGTGCGTGCCTGTAGTTCCAGCTACTTGGAAGGCTGAGGCAGAAGGAGCACCTGAGTCCAGCAGGTCAAGGTTGAAGTGGTTGTGACCGTGCCACTATACTCTAGCCTGGGCGACAGAGTGAGACTCCAACTCAAAAAAATTAAAAACAGAACAAAACAAAAAGATCTAGGGCTAGTGGTCTGCAGAGGGAGGGCTGAGGGACATGCCATAGGGCTACACCAACCCAGAGCAAGTGACTCCCGCTGGCCCCTTTCCTACCAAGAAAAGGAGCAAAGTTCAGACGACCAAGGAGATGCCTGCAATGTCTGCTGGTCCAGGTGTTGTCCATCCAGGACTGACTGCCCCGAGTCATGGCCACCACCTGCCACCCGCCATGGCCACCCCCTGCCACCCGCTGCTCTTGTCTCTTCTTGTGCTCGTCCTTTGAAGGTGCTGGTTCTTTATCTCATCTGGGCCCCTGGCACTTGTCCTTTCCCAGTTTTTTTTCAGAAACCGTTTGCCAGCTCCAGCTGTTTTCCACTGACCCCCTCCTGGCTGCCTGCCATTCCTACCCTGGCTGGAAAGACCCTCCACCCAGACCTTGGGGCAGGTGATGGAGGTGGCTGCATTTTCTCTGGCTGGTGCAAGACGGCTCACATCCTCTCGGTCATCATCTCCCTTTAGAGCCTACACACACACACACACACACACACACACACACACACACACACACACACACACGTTTTCCTGGCCAGCACAGAGAACCAGGAGAGTTTAGACTCAGACGGTACAGTCTTAGCTGGGTGGGACCACTGGGCTTCCCCGTGTATTGCCCCCTCCTGTGGTGTGTGCCTCCCAGGGAGAAGAGTGACTTTCTCTCTTATGATCCATCCCAGCAATCTGGAACATCCCACAGCCACACTTCTTCCCCTTTGGCCCAGGACAGCATTTCTTCCCCTCTGGCCTAGGATAAAGTGCTCAATCTTCAACTCGGGTTCATTCAAAAGGGAAGTCTAACTGGGCCTCATCTAGAGTTCACGGGATCTTTGGGTAGAGTCAACCGACTTGGGAAATGCCAGCAATGGGGTATGAAGAATTGAAACTTACGGTTTCCTTCTAATTAGTGAAAAAAACCCATGAGGAGTAATTTAAGGGGTTTACAGTAATTCTCGAAAGAAAGGGCAGAAAACAACTGAGTTTATGAAAGCCATGCATATTTGTCTAAAAGTATTTTTAAAAAATAACTGTGCCAGTTCCTCTCGGCCACAACTCTGACGTCTCTCACGGGCTTTCTGGTCCTAAATGAGGGCACAGTGGTGCCCCCTGACCAGAGCCAGACACTCCTGCCTCTGTCCCCTCCAGGCTCTGGGACCAGGGGTGACCCTGCTCTTTCTGGCTTTCTTGAGGAAGACGTGGCTTTGCTCCCTGAACACACCACAGCCTGAATGCCACTAATTTAAAGGGTGACCATATGTTCCAGTTTTCCCAAGACAGTCCTAATTCACATCCCCTTTTATTCGCGGTGTCTCAATTTGAGTAATAAATCATGTGGTCACCCCAGCCATTTGCAGCTCCCCGAGGCTAGGTCTAGCCCATGGGCAGATGCTCACCTCTTCTATGGACCCGCCCTGCCTCAGTGGTAGCCCTTGATTCCCAGGGCCTGGCTTCTCTGTGCTGTCTAGTTATTAACCGAGCACTGATCTATTTGCAGTTCAAGAAATCGTCCCTGTAATTCTTTTTAAAAATTTGATTCTGGCTCGGCTTTGTGGCTCAGTCCCAGCACTTTGGGAGGCCAAGGTGAGTGGATCACCTGAGCCCATGGGTTCCAGACCAGCCCGGGCAACTTGGTGAGGCCTTGTCTCTACAATTAAAAAAAATAAATAAAAATAATTAGCTAGACATGGTAGTGCACGCCTGTAGTTCCAGCTACTTGGAAGGCTGAAGCGGAAGGATCGCCGGAGCCCAGCAGGTCGACGTTGGGGTGGCTGTGAGTGTGCCACGGCACTCCAGCCTGGGCAACAGAGTAAAACTCCAACTAAAAAAAAAATTTGATTCTTATTTCTAATTTTTTCAGAGATGGGGTCTCGCTCTGTCACCCAGGCTGGAGTGCAGTGGCACGATCATGGCTCACTGTGGCCTTGGCCTTCTGGGCTCGAGCGATCCTCCCACCTCCTTAGCAGCTGGGACTAGAAGCATGTGCCATCACACCTAGCTATTTTTTTTTTTTTTTATGTTTTATAGAGACAAGGTCTCACTGTATGACTCAGTCTGTGTCTCTGTAATTCTAAAGATACAGAGGAGTGTGTGTGTGTATACACAGCGGAAAGATAATTATAAAACATTTGTTTAGAATATCTCATTTTTATGTAGAAATCTTTGGTCTTCACCATATTCTTTTGATAGTAGTACATGAAGAAGAAAATTGAAATCTTAGTAAAGATATTTCTTCATTACAAAACACCACTGTATAAATCCAAATGGAAAGCTTGCTGAAAGCAAATACTCTTCTCATCAGATCAGTAATCTGAATTTTTGATTCTCATATTCTCTCTAGTTCAACTTAGACAGTGAAACTGCACAGAGTCTTTTCATTTTGAATTGATCATCAAATTCGCTTCCTGTTATTGTTATCCCAACACTGGAGAGAAATATTTTATTTCCAGAAGTTTTCATTTAACATTAATAGAAAACAAACCCATACTGATCTACTTATTTCGGTCTGAACACGAACTGCCTGATTGTAAGAACTCGTTTACCTAATAATTCCATAATATTAGCATCACCCTAATTATATCCCTTGGCTGTTCCAGGCATGATCACAAGGTCTTTGAAATTCGGATGATGAACTTGGACTGACCCCAGACCACAGGACCCAAGTGGCCTGAAGCTGATTTCACTGCCGACAGCTGGGGCCTGTGATTTCAGGTTCTGGACTTTGCCTCCAGTTCTGGGGGCTCCTGGTGGTACTTACGTTTCATCTGTGAATGCGATTCCAAAGTACTCCTTCTCCTTCAGATTGAAGTGAGAGGCCACGAGGTCAAGAAGCTCCTTGGCCAAAAGCTTGGGCTGGGAAGAGAATACAATGGAAGAAGGGGTAAGTTCAAGAGACTCCCTTTCCCAAAACATGCAACCTCAGGGGTCCACCATTTTTTCAATGGAATATCTCAACGCTCAGGTATACCAGCCGGGCACGGTGGCTTCTGCTTCTGCTTATACTCCCAGCACTTAGGGAGGCTAAGGCAGATGGATCTCATGAGCCCAGGAGTTCAAGACCAGTCTGGGCAACATAGCGAGACCTCATCTCTATTAAAAAAAAAATCAAAAAAATTAGCTGAGTATGGTGGCACGCATCTGCAGTCCCAGTTACTTGGGAGGCTGAGGTGGAAAGCTAGCCTGAGTCCAGGAGGACAGAGCTGTCATGAGCCATGATCATCGTGATCATGTCACTGCACTCCAGCCTGGGCAAGAGATTGAGACCTTGACTCAAGAAAAAAAAAAAAAAAGTTCAAGTATATCAATGCACATGATTTTTATAAAGCCCAAAGGAACAGACAAGAGAACTCTGCTGAGTATACAGTCCCATCAAGGTTCAGCAGTAGCTTGAAACCTTCTGTCTTATTTCCTGGTAGTTTTGCTTTATCAGCAAATGACATTTGCAGGGTTGGCAAACTCGTGGCTTTTCCTTCCCCACACTGTCCACTGAATTGACAGGAAGACGCCTTCTTTAAAAAAAAATTTAACATACTTAAGTAACACCTGTAGAGTATTCTCCATAAGCACTTTAGAAATGTCACTATCGCACATCCTGATCACAACCCTGTGAGGCTGTCCATTATATAGGGAGAAAATGAGTACCCAGAGATTAAGCCAGAGTTGGACTGGTATTTGAGTCTTGGCTACTTGACTCCAGAGACTCTGCCCTTGGCCACTCTCTATGTTCCCTTAATTTTAAGTACAAATAATAAAGAGCAAGCCATGTGAAAACTAAGGCCATTTAAGTGCGAGCCATGTGAAAATTAAGGCCAAAGAGCCTTGGCAATAGTATTTAAGAATAAGCTAAAAATTCACCCGCCCTTTGCCTTGTCCAAGATTACGTAAGAATGTTTTATTATAAATTCTTTCTTTAAAATCTCTGCCGATCTAAAGACGTGCATCATAGCTTTAGGCATAAAATGATAGTAAATGTTTGTGAGTTTTGTCAACATGTTATTCATCTTGGTCTATGCAGTTGAAAAGACCACAGGTCACCAGGCACTGGAGTAGGGGAGAAAGGAAAGGCTGTCTGAAGGGGAAACAAGCTGAAGAGAGAGTGGTTATTTCTAAATTAGCTGCCGGGCCAGGCGTATGAAAATACACTGACTTTACTCTGACAACTGCTCTGTTCCAAGCATACTCACCAAACATCACCAAACTTAGAGCAAAAACAACGATCCTAGAAAAAGAGTGTGTGTGTGTGTCTGTGTCTGTGTGTGTGTGTGTGTGTGTGTGTGTGTGTGTGTGCACGCGTGTGCATGCACTGATGCATATTCTTTTGGTCTTCCTGAGAATATTTTCTATTTTGGTGGCTAGATACTTCTCTGTTAGATGAGTAGCTGAGATATCAATCAATAGTTATACGACAGTCTGGTTTCTTATTTCATTTTCTGGGTGAGGCTGTGGACTAAATTGTGTCTCCTCAAAATTCATATGTTGATGCTCTGATGCCCAGTGGTATTTGGAAATGTGGACATTGGGAGACAATTAGGTTTAGAAGTGGGTCCCCCATGATGTGATTAGTGTCATAAGAAGAGACACCAGAGAGCTTTCTTCCTCTGTTTCTACCATGTGGACACAGTGAGAAGGTGGCTGTTCGCAAACCAGGAAGAGAGTCCTCACCAGGACTGACCATGCTGGCAATCTGATCTCAGACCTCTAGGCTCCAGAACTGTGAGAAAATAAACTTCTATCTTTTAAGCCACTCGGTCTACATTTTGCTATGGCAGCCAAAGCAGACCAATTCAGACGTACTTCCTTTAACACAACAGTTATTTATCGAGTGTCTGCTATGCGCAGGGCATTAGCCAGACACTGCAAGACACAGAATTAAGCAAGACGCAGCACCTGCCATTAAGGAACTTGGACTTTCGTCAGGGCCACAGAGTAAGAAGTTGTTTGTGTTCAGTCTGAAACACCAGAGCAGATGCTCTCCCCGCCACATTCCTGGGCTCATGAGTCGGCAGCCTCAGAGCCTCGAGGACCACCCATTCACCAGTGAAAACCCCTGAAACGAAAAGACTGAGTTTGAAGCTTCCTCCCTAGAAGACCAAAACCGACAAGAGACTCCTGTGATAAATCCACACCATCTCATAGTCTCTCCCTCCATTCCCACTAAATTTTGAAAAAGTGAAAATGCAATCTCTGTGACCTGTCGGGAGTTCAAGGTTCCTATGTCAAACCCACCTTCACTCGGAGTAGACCTTCTACCCTGGGGGAACACAGTAGGGGTCAATATGGCACATCTCAGAACATCACTGACGAATTACCAAGTCGAATGCAAGACGAGGGCTCTTGAAGCTTCCAGTAAATGTCATGGGCTGCCTCCAGCACCACCTCCACTCCCAAAGGTATGGCTTGCCCAGTGACAAAGCATTGGCTGGGTCACTTGTGACTATGTGGTAGCGTGGCTGCTTATGAAATTGCAATGCACAGATGCTCCTCGACTTACAATGGTGTTACCTCCTAATAAATCCATTGGAAGTTGAACATTTTGTCAAGTCAACACTGCATTTTACACACCAACCCTACCGAACATCATAGCTTAGCCTGACCAGCCTTAACATGCTCTGAGCACTCACCTTAGCCCATGGTTGGACAACATCAGCTAAAACAAAGCCTATTTGATAATAAAGCATTGAACGTCTCATGGACTTCATCGAGTACTGTACACTGGGGACTATCAGTTGTTTACTCTTGTGATCTCAAGGACGACCAGCATCCCAAGAGAGTACTGGACCCCATATCGCTGGCCTTGGAGAAGATCCAACTTCAAAGTATGCTTTTTACTGAACGGGTATCGCTTTTGTATCCTCATGAAGTCGGAAAAGCATTAAGTGGAACCATTGTAGATTGGGACTGCCTATGCTATAATTCACCAGTCCAAATACCCAACATCCCTTCCATAGGAGTCACTGTGTTTCTCTGACACTTGCCATTTCAACATTCTTGATCATCTTTTGGGTTTGCCTTTGAAGCTTGTGTCAAATCTATAAAAGCATTTTCACTGGCGATAACTCTTCTTGTGCTCAGAATGGATCTGACTTTTTTTTTTTAAATGTCAAGAGTCACTTGAAGTCAAATCTAGTGGGTGGAAACAGAGGCAAAGAGGTGAGTGAGTGTCTGGTCAACCTGGTTTTAATACCAGTGAGGTGGGACTATAAAGTGAATACTGTGGGTTCTCGGGGATTATTCTAAGCCCAGACTTGGAAATGACAGAAGTAAGATTTCATTCTCTTTGAGTTCATTTTAAAGCCAACATCTCAATGGACTTGATCAGAGATACACAAATTTGCCCAGGAAGACACAGAGTGATTCCCAGGGATGGCATGGTTTATCTCTAACATGATCACCTATATTGATCATTCCGTATGGGGAGGGGTGAATGGAGAGGGGGTGGCGGGAGGGTGTTGGGGAAGGAACATGAGCCAGAGAGGCAAAAATGATCTCTGCCAATAGGCGCTGAGTATTTGGGCCCCTTACCCAGAGGCAAGACTTCTACATGGCAGAAATCGAGGCAGGAGGCTATTTTAGCTGTTCATATGCCATTTAACTCTCCTTTTAAGTCCATGCCTCCCAAGGAACGCCTTGTGGCACTACTGTGTCCTGGATATGAACCTCATATTATAATCTCATTATCATCTAGAGTAGAGATGATCATTCCTTGGCCAAAGAAGCGTTTGAGACTTGGAGGTGTCAGGCAGGCTATCCTCCATCTCACAGGAAAGCCAGGTCTCAAAATAAGGTTCAGATACTCATCACAGAATATTATTTAGCCTTACAGAAGGAACAAAAGTCAGACATGGATGCTAAGAGAAGACATCATGCTGAGAGAAAGAAACAGACACCAAAGCACAAATATTGTATGATTCTACTCAGAGAAGGTAATCGGAATAGGCAAATCCAGAGATAATAGAACAGTGATTTCCAAAGGCTGGGTGGGTAGATGGATGGGGAGGTCTTTCTTCATGAATACAGGATGATGAAAAAGTTTTGAATTAGTAGTTACTAGTGATTGCTACATAACACTGTGAATGCACTTAAGGCCACTGAATTGCACACACAAAAAATGGTTAAAATGATGTTTTATGTTATGTATATTTTGACCTAATATGTAAAGGAAAAAGGAAACAAACAAACAAAAAGGTCTGGAGGTCTCAAAGCCCACATGTAAACCCTATCCTTCCAGCTATCCTTCCTCTGCTGACCTTACTTCTTGTGGTCCCTGTCTGGGTTAGGGCTATAATGCTCACTTGAAACCAGTACACTGACATTATGGATTAATACATCAGTACTTTGCATTTGGTTAATGTGAGTCTTCTCTTGAGGGTGAAAAAAATCAGGTTTCTGAACCTGCCGTGATAAAGAGATGGCTTGACACGCTGAAGATTTTGCCAGGGTAATGGATGCCGCCTTGGGAGCCTGGTGGAGACTGACTTTTGGCGTCTCCATGGGGCTGCATCTCTCTAAGCTAGCCTGTCACACAACCTTTTTTATATTGGAACTTCTACAACTGGAAAATGAGTTTTCGTGACCCATAAACTGAAGGCCACTCAAAGGCTCTGAGCAGTAGCAACTTCACTGGAATAAACTTCATCTTTTCATAGGAGTTCTTTTTCAAGGATTGCACACATTTGGATGTCTATCTTTACTAAATGTAAAAAGGCCAGTCCCGTTATTTTATACAACAGTTACTATAGATCACATGTATCACTCTCGAGAAAGAAAAGCCTCGATGTATCGCTCACAATTTACAAATGGAGAAACAAAGGCCGTGAAGAGAGAGAACACAGACCCCAGAAGACAGTGAGGTCACAACTCCTGCATTTCAACTCTTTTTAAAAGCCACACATTTTTCTGCTATCATGGTGACCAGCAACAGCGGAGAAGGTGGCCGTTCCATCAGTGAGAACAAGAGTTCCCACCAGACACCGACGGACGGGTGTGCAGAGGGAGTGAGGAATACATGCCACTGTTTAAGTCACTGAGACTCTGGGGGCTGTTTGTCCTCACGGCATCACCTTGCCTGTTCTGACTGATTCAGCCACCAAGTCTTTGATTCTCTGTAGGTTGGTTTAAAGGCCACTTAAGGCATCAGTCCCTTGGTTTCCTAATCTTGCAAACTAAGACGATATCCCACCTTGACATAAGGATTAATGGACGACTTTGTTCCCAAAGTTTCTTAAACTCCTTTAGAGAAAGTTGCTGGGTACTTGGAAAGCTGTTCGCTCTTCTGTGCTTTGAAAGGATGTTTACAGAATCCTGCTGATTTTAATTTGTCAATTACTTGTGCTGTAAACATTCGTGGGGCTTTGCAGGAATCAGGCTGGGAGCGAGGCCAGGAAGGCAGGCTGCAGCCCAATTACATGGTACAGGACAACCTGGGCAGGGGCCCAAAGGGCACGTGAGTCAGGCAAGCTTTGCATGTCCGTGGCCCATCAGAAGAGTCCTCTTCTGGGTCACCAGCCATCCTGGCCCCGAGAGGTGTCTGCATCGAAGCCTGGCTTTCCCTCAGCCCGTAATTAATTCTGTTCACACCATAATAGTTTCTTCTTTCTTTTCTTTCTCCGATTCTTTTTCCATTGTCCTCCTAAGCTCTTATTCCTCCTTACATCTAACAAATGAGATCTCCTTACAAACACGTCCTCAAAATGCCTGACTTGGTGGCCCCGATCACGGTGCTGACGGGACAGTCTCTCCAACACCATTGACTTGGAAACCTGGGCTCTAGCACATCCTTCAGGGAGGAAAAGAGAGACGCTCTCAGTCCGTGTTTCTCTGACTCCACAGCCAGGTCTGAGTTCCTGGGGGATCTGGACTATTCCAGCAGGAACTGTGCACTTTCTCAGTATAGGACAGGGAACCCCAAAGCCCCCAGAATTACTATTTGGAGGGCAGGTCCCTTGTAGTACAGGCTTCCCCTGTTAGGTAAGTGTTCTAGGAGTATCAGTGTACCAGCTGGTGGTGTTGTGAGAGGTTGCGTTTGGCTTCAGTGAATTTTCTCTTGGAGATTGTTTCGATGCGTTTTCTCGTTCATGATGGGTGATTTACGAGCGCACCTGCCCACACCGTGCTGAATTTCCAGCAGTTTGGGCCCCAAAATAGCATGACCCCCATGTCCCACTCTCCCTATTCACTCCATCTCAACCTGAGCAGCTTCTTTTTGGTTTCCCTGGATGAAAAAAAATCCTCAGTGGGAAACGTTTTGCTAATGTGGAAGAGGTGAACCAAAACACAGCAGAAGCACTCACAAAAATGGTATCAAAATTGGCAGATTCGGAAACTGTTTTTCACAGTGGAGAAAGCATCTTGATAGGCATATTGCATCCAATGAAGAGTACTTGGAAGGTGACTGAAACTTAAACGTGTAAGAATAAGTACAGTTTCTTATAAATACATTCCGGGTTTTTTTAGTCCCTCCCCCCCCCGCCCCGACCTCGGTATGACAATGCTCCAGATTGGGCTCTTCCTACTTCCGAGCTGGTCTTTTTCCATTTGGGACATAACTGACTGTAATGATGAAAACATCACTGAACACGTCGCGGGGCTATAAAATGCTCTAGGCATGCCCTCGTGACACGGGTCCCTCCGGTGATCTCTTTTTATTTTTCAGAGAGAGGTTCTCCCTCTGTCATCCAGGCTGAAGTGCAGTGGCATAATCATATCCCGCTGCAGCTTTAAATTCCTAAGCTCAAGCACTCCTCCTGCTGCCACCTCCCAAGTAGCTGGGAGTACAGGTGCTTGCTACCATGTCTGGCTAATTTTTGCGCGGAGAGAGTAGAGATGGGTCTCACTATGTTGCCCATGCTGGTCTCCAACTCCTGTCCTTAAGCAATCGTCCCACCTCAGCCTCCCAAAGTGCCGGGACTCCAGGCAGGAGCCACCGTGGCTGGCCCAGTGATCTCTGAGAGTCATTCAGGTAAATCGGAAGATGGATGGAATGACACGGTGGTACCAGACACCTCTCCGATTCTTCACAGAATATATTTACCATCACATATACAGGACATCACTCTTTTTTTTTTTCTTGAGTCGGAGTCTCACTCCGTCACCCAGGCTGGAAGGCAGTGGCACACTCACGGCCACCGCACCTTGACTGTTGGGTTCCGGCGATCCTTCCGCCTCAGCCTTCCAAGTAGCTGGAACTACCGGCACGCCCCACCACGCCCGGCGAAGTTTTTGATTTATTGTAGAGACGAGGTCTCCCAAGTTGCCCAGGCTGGCCTTGAATACCCGGGTTCAGGCAATCCTCTCACCTCAGCCTCCCAAAGTGCTGGGATGACAGGCATGAACCACTGCGCCCGGCTATATCACTCTTTCAATCGGACATGTGTACGTCCCAGATAGAGGATCTTGGACAAATTATATAAATTTGCTGAGCCTCTGTTGACAAAACGAATTCCTATCCTAAGATATTATTCTTTATATTATTAAATTTAGCTGCTTCTTCCTTTCCCAAAACCCAATCCAGTCTTATTCCCCAAAATACTGCCCATTCAAAAAAATTTTACAACCACCTGAGTCCTCCCTGAGTTCTTGTTTGCTTGTTTGTTTGTTTGAGTTGGAGTCTCGCTCTGTCGCCCAGAGTGGAGCGCAGTGGCCGCTCCCGGCCACCGCAGCC